TCCCTGGTTCTGGGGAGCCCACGGGGTGCAGGGAGGGAGCTGGGGGTGGGTGCCCCCACAGAGGTCTTGTGCTGGGTTGTCTGTGTGCCACCTTCCAGGTGAACCAGGCAGGGAGTTTTCCACCCCTGCTTCATTAAACCGACGCAGAGGCTCTGTGGACACTTATTTATAGTTAGAACAGGTTTATTTTAGGTAAAGGGAAAGTTTTCAGTGGTGACAAAGAGATTTAAGAACCAAACCCCTCTGCCTTCACCTCATGATGTGAGCACTTTGGGCCCCAAACCTCTTGTGAAGGTACCACGTGAGACCTCAGCTCCTTGTCCAGACCCTGGTGCATTGGATCTCAGGAGATGATTCCTGGGTCAAAGCCACTTTGGAAACTGGGTTTAAGCTGCTAGCTTTTGCAGGCTTGTCCATGCTAGGGCTACCTGCAGCAGTGTGCTTGAGCAAAGGGCTTTGCTCCCAGATGCTGCCATTGTCTCCGTTGGTTTCTTTCTTTTTCTTTCCCCTCAAACCTTGCAAATGCCCAGTGCTGGATTCCTCTTCTCCCATCGGACATTGCCCCCATCACAAAGATGACCTGCACCTTCTGTCCTGGTTTCAGATGGGACAGAGTTCACTTTCTTCCCACAGCTGGTGTGAGGCTGTGTTTGGGGTTTGTGCTGAGGAGAAGCTGATCACACACTGATGGGCAGAGCTGCTGCCAGGACACTCAAGGACTTTCCAGCTTCTCTGCTGTGCCCGTGTCTGCAGGGGCAGGAGGAGCTTGGGAGGGAGCACAGCCCCAGTGACCAGCCCAGGATTCAACCTTGGGTTTGGGATTGAGACTCAAACTGGACAGTGGTCTATTCCATCCCATGCCTGGCATGGCCAGGAGAGAGGCAAGGATTCTCCAGAAGCTCATCCCCTTTTGCTCTGGATCATCTCTTGCTCCAGGTCAGCAATTTTGCTCTGGGTTGGCTCTCCCTCTGGGTGGTCCCTCTCCCAGGGCCATCTCCCTCCCTCAGTCAGCTCTCATTCTGGGACGTTCAAGCTCTTATCTCCAGTCTGGGATTGCGATTTCGGGACTCTCCCTGCTCTGATTAGCCGGGAATGGGCTGAGCCTTGGTCATCGGGTGGTGAGAAGTGTCACTGTGTGTCACTCATTTGTATATTTCTATATATTACTATTATTTTTGATATTATTGTAGTTTAGTTATTAAATTGTTCTTATCTCAACCCATGAGTCTTTTTTCCCTTTACCCCCTTAATTCTTTCCCCCATCCCCAGACGTGGGGAGACTGAGTGCTGTGTCATGTGGGCTACCAGCCAGGGTAAAACCATCACACCCTCGCTGCAGAAGCAGCATTCTCTCCTCCTGAATCCAGGTGCAGCCCTGCTCCCTCCCCACAGCCCTGCTGACATGCAGCAAACCTCTGGAGACCTTCCTCCCTCTTTGATGCTGCTGTCCCCATGCCCTCCTGTTGTCACCCGCCACCCTATCTTTGCCATAAATTGTCATTGTCATCCTGGAAAACTGGGAGTGGGCAATGTCTGACCTTCAGGGCACTGAACTGAGGAGCACCGCACGGCTGCCTGTCCTTCAGCTACGTGGCGTATGTTCGTCTCCCAACACTACAAGCAACGTTCACAATCTCCCTGCACTCCTTCATCTTTCAAAGCAGACTTTGCTTACCGCATTTCTGGCTCTTTTCTTTCCTTGGAGATTTTCCACTTTTTTTTTCCAAATATCCTGCTTGCTGTATATACATTGCTCGTTTGCTAGCAGAGAAGCCCTGCTCCACCAGCCTCTCCCCTGTGCTTGAAAGGGAGTTTTTAACTGGTTTTGCACTTTTTCTTTGACAAAATCCCAGCTATTTTCTATGCTTGTATGCTTGACTTCCCAAATCTGCCCAGCTGCAGTAACCAGCTCTCCTCACTTGTCCTGATTTGTGCTTGTTCACGGCTGCAGCCACCAATCTGCTCCCATTGATCTTTCCATTTACGCAAAATGGCATTGACTCATGCCTACTCTAGCTGAAGTTATTTTCTCAAATAGCTCTTCTAAAAACAGCCTATTTTTCGGGAACAGGTACAAAAAAAACCCCCATCAGCTCGCTTCATGCTGTGAGCTGGTGAAGAGATGTGTGAGATGTCATATCCAAGGATATCTGGAACGACCCCTACAGACAAGGCTGTGATTTATAACACCACCACCCCTCCAAAGAGTTACTCTTCCTGGAGGCATTTATCTCCCGGGGCTTTGTCCTCGCCCCAGCCTGGTTGGGGGATCTGTGACAGGCTCCCAGCACTGTCTGGGCAGACCTTCCCTTCCCTCCTTCCCAAGGCAGTTTAGATCCAGGAAGACCTTTTGATGGTGCCTTTCAGCATCTTGTGCTGTGCTACCCTTCCTCCTTGCTTCCTGTTCTTACCCTCTCCTCCTGTCCTCCATTGCCTCTGCTCTGGTCACACCAGCTGTTTCTCTGACCTCTGGACAGATCTGCTGCCTTGGGCGTCTCCATGTAGTAATTTGAGTTCCTCCATACTGGCTTTGCACGAGGCCACAATCTCTTGTGTTATTTCCTGTAGACCATCTGCTCTTCCCGAGCCAGAGGAGACCCCAGCTCTTTGGTACCCATCCCTCTTTCCTGGCTGCTCTTATCCCTCCAGGTGCTTCCCTCCCTTTGATGGTTATGCCCTTGTTCACCAGCTCCGGCTCTTCCAGCACAACCCAAACCAGTGTGGAGAGTACACGCCTCTCCTTCAGCCTCCATTCGCTTTGTGGTTCAAAGCCCGGCATCAGACCCCTGAAGGCTTCTCCCATCCCTCTGCCGTGCCTCCTTGTATTAAGTGTGTCCGTGAAGGCTCCAGCTGCTCCAGCACCCCACCCCTTCCCATGGCACCCACCCCTTCCCATGGCACCCAGCCCTTCCCATGGCATGCCACTCCTTCCCACGGCACACAACCCCTTCCCACGGCACCCAGACCTTCCCATGGCACCCAGACCTTCCCATGGCACAATCCTTGGGCCAGCTGCTCCTACGCCCTCCCTGTGCACACCCCCACCCCGACTGCAGGGCACCAGGACAAACCCCCAGCCCATCCCCAAATCTCCACATTGTGGAGCATATCCCCAGCATGGTGGGGTTGTCCTTGCTCCCTCCTGGAGGGAGCTCGCAATGTCTTTTGAGGGTGTTCAGGTCTCCTCAGCCTGGCACCCACCTCCTCTCTGTTCCTGACAGATGCTCCTGTCAGCACCAACAGCTTCTCGCGGGCTTGTGTGAATCTCTGATCATCACCTTACTGGCCTTCCTGTGGATTCAGTAGCTTTAGGTTGACACTCAAAGTCTTCTGTATCTCATCTTCGTTTATCCCAGAGCTGCAGTTTCTTGTTAAATTCCGAGTCTTTCCCTGTTCCTGCAGGCTCATGTGTGTGTGCTTTTCCTTGCCATCCTCAAGCCTGCTTGAACTACGCCTTCACCTTCAGATGCCTTTCTGGTCCTCCCATGATCTCTCAGAGTCCCAGAGGTCCCTCCTGTTGCATTGCTTTCTAGGTGTGAATGTGAGGCTAACATCTACAGTGCAGTATTTGCAGGCGAACACCTTCTTTGTGTGTAATATAGTCCTGGGTTCAGCTGAGGCAGAGTTAAGTTTCTTCATAAAAAGAGACTAGTAAGCTAGTAAGAGACTGTGTTTTGGCTTAGGGACATGGTTTAGTGAGTTAGGTGGTGTTGGGTTGACGGTTGGACTTGATAATCCTTGAGGTCTTTTCCAACCTTAATGATCCTATGATTCTATGATTGTATGAGAAGAAACCTAGTAACATACTGATGTTTATAGCTGTTGTAAGGACAGTCAAGGTCAAGTTTTCAGCTTCTCTGCTGTGCCAGTGTCTGTGGGCACAGGGGATGCTGGGAGGGAGCACAGCCCCTGTGACTAGCCCAGGATTTGACCTCAGGTTTAGGATTGAGACCCAAAGTGGCCAAGGGTATATTCCATATAATGCATGTCATGCCCACTCTATAGGTGAGGGGTCTCCAGAATCTTGCCCCTTCTTCCTCCAGGTCAGCTCTCTTTCCAGGTTGGTTCTCTCAGGGTGGTCCCTCTCCCAGGGTCATCTACCTCCCTCAGTCAGCTCTTCGTCTGGGATGCTCGGGGTCTTATCTCCATTCCTGTGGTTTCAGGACTCTCCCTGCTCTGGGATCATTAGCTGGGAACGTGCTGAGCCTTGGTCATTGAGTGGTATCATGCGTATCACTCATTTGTGTATTTGTATATATTATTATTTTCAATTTTATTGTAGTTTAGTTATTAAATTGTTCTTATCCTAACCCACAAGTCCTTTTTTTCCCTTCACCCCTTTAATTCTCTCCCCCATCCCGGAGGGGTGGGGGGGGAA